CCCCCCCCCCCCCCCCCCCTCCCCCCCTTCTCTCTCCCTCAGTCCTCCGTGTGCAGTACTCAAAAGCGACTTGTGACAGGGCCATACCGTTGGCGTGTCGAAACAAACAAGCAAACCACTACCACCCTTGAAAATTACGCCTCCGATTGGTTCCTCGGTCCTCCGGAAGTATCCCCACGGAGGCGACGTCACCGCGGCAGACCATGCCAGAGCGGTCACGGCGTCTCGGGGCGAACAAGTCCGGAGCGCGGCATGATTCGAGCAGCAAGTCGTCGCGCATCGGTGCCGATCTGTCTAAGTGGCAGGAGTGCCCTGCGTCGTACGCGGTGCCGGTGATTATTGTCAAGCACTGCAGCGTCAGTGAAATTGTAGCGCGGATAGCTCTTCGACGATACAACGGAGCCACTTAAGCGGGTGCTGCGACGAGAGCGTTACCAGTTCCACAAACCGCACCGACCATTCAAACGAGCAGGGGAGAACGGAAACAACTCATCAAGGGCAATGGTATGCGGTTTACGATTCTCGTACAACTCAATACAGCACAATAGCCAGTTGCCGAGCCGTGTACAGCAGTAGTCTAGCCGACAACCCAACAGCAGATGAAGAAAGTGAAAACCTCGCAAGAATGGCCGTAGAGCACGGCAGCGGGTGAATTGACTGCAGTGCAGCGATGCTAGAGAGTGAGGCGTGAAGAAGACGAGCTTGCCGGAAAAAGAAAGGTCGTACATGGCAAGGCCAAAACCTTCCGGTGGATATCGTACCATCGGTTGAGCGGAACGATAACGACGAATCACTGAGCGACAAGGGACTATTTCAAGTGAACGGGTAGCTGACGTGTGGCAACTCCCGAGACAAGGGCATGCTCGCCAATATGGCCATTTGATTCGTAGTGGTCCACATCGTCGACAAGCTGGTGTCTAGGCGGGCACGTAGTCTCTTCTTCGTAAAGCAAACCCATCCCAAAATGAATTAGACGGGGGCTACTATGTAGCGTCTTGCCTACCTCAGCAAAATGAAAATTACATCCGAGGGCGTGTAGGCCCAAGAGTTCGTCCGACAACACGCTCCGGGTGTGTGGTAACCCCCCCACGGGGCCTACAACGTGTAATACGCCGAATATCGGGCGTCCCGGAGGGTTTGAACCCTTGCAACAAGAAGAACTTCAAATTCACCATTTTCTAGGCGGTGCTAGCGGCTGGGAGGTCTCGCTGGGATCGTTCGCGCTCTCTTACCTGCCGTTGTCGAATCCAACCGTATGTACAACTCCACTTCGGACGCCCTCGTTGAGGACGCTGGGTTCCAGCCACCCGTTGACGCTGGAGTCGAACCCCGTTGCAAGGATCACGGTCTCGAAGGAAACCGTCGACCCTGCATCACATAGTAGGCAAAATTGTTGCGGTACGCAGCGGGGGGGGGGTAAGTCGTAGTAAGCCCGTCGCTCCACGACACGTACGTTTGTTTACACGGCAACAACCACAAGTTTTCGGAGAAAATACACCCATAAAAGACACGCGTACAAATGCTTCCGGTCGGGTATATGCCACCAACACAACCAACCAACAGCACTGCGCCAGGGCCGGCAATACATTACCCCAGTCATTCATCCCGCGCGGGAGGTTGTGTGTCGTGTGTTTTCGTCCTATTTATTATGGCGACAGTCCCCCCATTTTTCGTGTTGAGACGTGTACTACACTTTTTCAGCGTATGTAGAGTACTACACTTTTCAGTGTATTGTTCGTACAACTACAACTATCCAGGGTCACACAGGAGGGAGCAAACACCAGGGCTTTTCCTCCTTTTCATTTCTTTTCATGCCCCACCTTCGTCCTGCGGTGCGTGCTGACTTTTATTTTTATCGCGAGAAGCGTCCAGCCGTCCCTTTCCCTCGTCAACGGTTCCAACGTCGAAGTTTGATGCTCACGAGAGCTTTCTTAGCTATATTTCGCTTTCACCCGCAAATTTCGTAGATTGTTCACCCCATGGGGATTCGAACTCACGACCTCTGCGACTAGCGGATTACGAGGATGCCACTAGACCACCGGGGCGACCGGTCACGGAGGGTGTATGGAGGCAATTTTTCGCCTTCTGTCTACCGCCGTCCAAGCAGCATAATCAAACATATTGATGAAGCAGTTTCGCTCGCACAGGGGCATGTGCAGGATGCGAACCGTCGCACGTCTTGCGGATCCCTACACACATTCCATGCACTCGGCGTTAGGCTTGAGGCTTGAGGCTTGAGTCTTGGTGTTGTTTCCTCCTAGGATACACGTTATTGGTATCGCCTCTCTTGGTGGTCTCGCCTTCTTGACGGAATTCTATCTCTCTCTCTAGTCTCGACGAAACCACAAGCCTTAGAAACCTGCCTGTGTCTCTAGGCCAATCCCCCGAGAACAAGGAGGCGGATTCGAATCAGAAAGAGCAAGACGGCGGGGGAGGGCCCTGGATATCGAGCCCATAGATCTAAAGCCTTCAAAGGTATACAAGGGCGATGGTTTCGAAACAAAACGCGTCACCACTCGCGAACCTGGAGGTAAAGAAATTGAGGCGAAAAGAGAACAAAAATTTTGAACTTGGCCGAAGTAACAGGCGCTTAGTCTTAACACCCTTTGCTGAAACCAATGTAGTCGATGTTGGGTCACCCCACAGAAAAAAGAAAAGGGAAGAAGTTGTTAGTTGCAGATTCTACACGAACCGACAGCACCTACACCGAGCTACATGTAGCTAGAGAAAAGGAGGGTCACCCGAGTGCCTGAACCGCAGCGTGTTCCCGTTGGCCCAGTCGATCGGCCCGTGCACCTTTATCCTGCCGCTCAGCAGCGACGGGACGAGGCTCCCCTTCGGGATCGCGATGGTCATGGGTAGCGGAGAACAAACACGAAAAAAGATACCAATGTCAGAGTGTGACGTAGGTTCTGTCGCGACAAGAGTACCCGTATCCGAGAATACACCCCCTGGACCGATTTTCATGGCTCGAGTTTCAACAGCAGCAAGAGTCGCAGCGCCGAAAACGGCGGCGTTGACACCGTCTGGTCGCGAGCTCTCCCCAAACGTGTCGTTTCGTTTACGAATTGTCTTCGTCGTGGAGCAATCGAGCTTTAAAAATCGGTCCAGGGGGTGTGTTGTCTTGTGTTGTTTACGATACTACAATACCCTTCAGGTTTTCGACGGGCCGGCGATGCAAACGTCAGTCAGCTGCTGCATTCAACTAAAAGGTAGCAACCCCGGAGCAACATTGGGTTGTAGGGTTGTGCACAAAGAATCGATCGGAGCTCCACCTCTAGTAGGGGTGGGTAGGGGGAACAGGCGGCTGTTGGCATCAGGATCCCAATTTTTTTGCTGGCAAGGGAATCGGGAATACATCGCTGTCAGCATCTTTGCCCAGATGTCACGCTTTACCCGCCTGGGGGCGCCAAGGGCGAGGTGGCTCTCAGACCTGCAGCAAGCAGCAAGGATAGTTGATGCGAAAATGTTGGCCACAAGGATTGCTATTAATGATTTGTCCAACCCCGACTTCTATCTAAAACTGCTGCGCTGTTGTACTCTTCAGATTGCAGCCCGTACTTGCTTCTACCCAGTTGTGCCCGTTATCCTACCCTTGGCAAACGGAGAGAAAATAGTCTCCGTCGATCACGAAAAACGCCAGCCCAGGATAAGGAACACCCAAAAATGAAACCGAAAAGCCCGCAGAGTGAATACTACGTTTTCACGTCGCGAATGGAATCCTTGGGGCGCGAGACGTTACTCTTTGGATCGAGCTACGCGGAGAACTGAACAAAAGGAGGAGAGACGTATTCCTACACAGAAACCAATGGCCTTGACTTTCATCGTTCGTACGCATGACCAAAACCCAAACGACACCAAAAACGATGCTCCATATTGTATCGTGGGAAGTAGGGTCTCTAACTACAGCAGCAGGGTTCCAAAACCAAGTGGTATTTCCTTGCTGCCGTCTTTGGCTAGCCGAAGTGGATGTCCATGAACACAGGCGCAAAAACCAACCTTGTCGATGCAAGGTATCCGGTTGGAGGAGCAGGCACTCCAGGTCTGCCGCACCCCGGATGGGAAGACCCTATCCCTCCAGCCCCTGCCCCACTTGGCGGCGGCAAACATCGACAGCACCTTGTCGGTCGCCCGAGCCGGTAAAAATTGCACCGCTCTTTGCGTTCCGGCGAGTGATTCGGGGCGATGATGGGTGGGCGGGGGTGTCGTGATTGAATTGGTTTTGTGTGTAGCGGTAGACTGTAACGCCGTTTCTGTCTCTCCAAAGTCATTCACGTCGTGAGGCAATTGTTCGGGTTGTTTTCGGCTCCCTTGGAGTTGAAGGGTCTTGCTTCGTCGGCCTGTGTGACCTTGCAAGACGTCCGCGTCAGTAGGACCAGTGACGGCATCACACTGAACTGAGAACGAGACCGGGAGGGTTTTTAACGTGAGGGCAACGCCACCACCAACACCAACACGTTCGGACGACAAGAGCGAAACAAAGATTATCCAACATCTCACACAAAGGACGGCCACGCTAGCCCGAGAGGCGAAAGGACACTACACGTTTTCGAGGAAAAGGTTCGCACGACGCCATGTGAAACGGGCTTGAAGATATCGTCGAGATTAACGGAGGCTAGGTAATGTTGTGCTTCAAACCGGGGGGATCGTACCATATTTGCCTGACGACATGCCGTGAAGCCGTAACTTCCACAAAGACACACTTTTGGACCATCGAAACCGTTTTTGGTTCCTCCCCAACGTCCCTATCCCGGGTGTGGACACCCGATCAGCACCTGGAAACCCACTCCAAGGAAAGCGGGCCCCACTGCCGCATAATGATCGGAGGTGCCGACCTCGTGGAGATGTGAACTGTGTCTGCGCCGTTCGCCAGAAGAGCTGATGTAGGTCGAGAGTTGGTCATTTGGGCAGTGGTGAGGGAGAGAGAATCGATCACATCAAATAGGCATGCAATCGACCTGCTGCGGCGGGCTCCGTGTGAGAGTGTTGAAATGCGGGGAGGAACGGCAACGACTTACCCTTGCCTGAAATATGGTCGGTTTGTTGTACCTTGGATTTGGGGTCATATGTGGATTGAAAGAAAAAAAATGCCAGCAAGTTGTGAAATTGCAAACTGGACGTCCCCACGACGACGCGTCATTGCTCTGCTGGTTTCCGCGTTACACATGATGTATCACATAGTTAATCACTTGCCCTCGGATTTTCAACTGATATTCTGCGCCAAAGAGAACATTCTAAACAAACTAAAACGTCGAGACGGTGTGCTGCTCAATGTCGAAACACAGCGTGCTTCTGCCTTAGCTCACCCACTGCGAGATCACAGGCGCTGTTACCCATGCCGACGATGCAGATGCCGCCGCTGCTAGCCGCCCTTGATGCTAGGGCTTTGGTCTCACTCGAGTGAAAAACCTGGAGCCGCGTGTTTTAAAATGCATTAGGGCGAGGTTGGGGAGGAGGAGGGGGCACGCTAACGCGTCAAGAACGGCGACAATGGCTTCAAGGAAGACAACGTCAACAGCATCAACAGCACTGGCAACAACAACGACGAACAACACAGTAGCGGNGGTTGTTTGGCGTCAGACTCAAGGTTAGCCTGAAACCAGGCAGCCCAGCGGTCATCCCGCTCACCTCCGCGGAGAAGCCTCGGAGGTTCTCCAACACCGTGGAAGGCATCCTCGGGGATGAGCACTTTCCGGTAGCGACCACGACGTGATCACAACGTACCACGGATACCGCCGTCTCGCCTCTCCTACCGCCAAGAACAAGCAAGTAGGAGGGAAAGCAGAGGAGGCCAAGTCAAGGGAGAGCGTGCTCCTTAGCGCGGATCGCAGGCATCGAGTACTGTTCTTGTGTTGGTGATCCGTTGGCTTGTTGCCTGGGGCACCGTCGTTAGACTTCCCCGAACAGTCCCAAACGCAGGCTTTTCAGGGGACCGACCTTCCTTCGTTCCCTTCGTATGTGTGTTGAAAACAGCACGTCAGCCACAGGCAAGCCAATACCCCTCACACTAAGCAAAGCAAAACAAAATAGCACCATCGGTGGCGGACATAGTTCCACCAACCAGCCACAAGCAAGCCTATACTCCCCAACCCAGAAATAATTGATTACCATCGGAAGCGGACATGAATTCCGCCAGCCCGAGCACGGGCATCACCCCGGCGGGTCGATGGCGACACCGCCTCTCGCTCCGCTCCAAGGACCTCGGTCTCGGTGAAGACGGCCAGGCCGAACCGTCGGCGGTAAGCCCGCAAGTATCGCACGAAGCTCTGGGCCGACATCTCGTCGCCGGCGCCTACGGCATGGTTGCCATTGCTGCTGTTGCTGTTGATATAAAATCCGGACGCGACATTGGTGTTGTTGGCAGGAGCAGTGTCATCTGCGCAGCCGTTATCGAAGCCGTTGTCGCAGAAGCCTTCGGGCGGGACAGGCCATCCCGGAAGGCCGCAGTGCCGCCGTCTCGTCGTGATTCGCAGTCCCTCGTACTGCCGAGCCCAGGCGCCGCAGACGCTCTCCGACCTAGCTCCGCGAGGCAAGAGGAAACAAGAAAAAGAGGGGCGTGGAATGGATGAGTGCGGCTAGCGTGGAGATAGCCCCGTGATCGAGCAGGACGTCAATACTGGTGGGAGATTTCCGCGCCCTCTCGCTCCACATCAAACGCCTCCTTGGATCGCCCGAAAGGTGGATAATGCCGCAACCGATTCGATATTTCAGACGTGCTGAGAGCTAATCTCAGCCCCTAAACTCATTTCAGAGTGCGAATATGAACGGAAAATGCTCTGCGGTTGTGGGTACCGGCCACAACGCCCAGTAGCAACAAACGCCAACCAGCCGGAACCGACAAGTGGGGCTCTGTTGGTCCACGGCCACAGACTGGACGGGACGGACCCGACGTTCCTAAGGAAAATCAACGTCCGGTCGCCCCGGTGGTCTAGTTGGTACCATCGATACCTTCTAGAGGTCTAGTCAGGGGTCCAAATCCCGGCGGGAGCGAGTTTTCCTTGCAAGGTGAGTTTTTCTCTCGCCTCCGCTCCTGGTCTAGTGGATAGCGCTAGTCTGTGTGTACACAGAGGGAAGAGACTGCTGAACTCTTCTCCCGTTAAAAATCGAAGGCAAAGCACCGCAGGAGGGGAGGGTTAAGAGGGGCTCTTCTATGTGACCACGGCTTGGAGTAAAAGGGCACTTGTGCTGTGAGCGCTGATTTGAAGTGAAGACAAAAAAAAAATACACGCCAGACAGCTCATGATGTCAGATCAGCAATATCGAGCACAGCGCAATCTCCGAAAACAAAAGCGCCCCTCTTCCCACCTCTCTAGGATGACGACCCCATCCTCGCCTCGAGCCCTCAAGCACGCCGCGGCGCTAAGCCCGCTGGCGCCGGCTCCGACGACGATAACACGGCAATACGCTGGCGGCCGCCGCCGTGGTTGCGGCTCTTCTCCATCGGAATAGCCTCTGGCAGGACAATCCATCTCCGACAACCCGGTACCCACTCGCACGCCAAGGCTACCAGGGGTCCTCTCCGTGGAGCTCTCGCCCGAACCTGTGTCGAATGGGGGTGATGCGGGCGAAATACCGTCGCAATTTTCCCTTAGTTCATTCCGCGATGCCCCCGTCGCAGGGATTCGGTCCTGGGGGTCTCTCTGCCCCGTGGACGGTGCCCTTGCCGTCGCTTGTACGTCGGCATCGTTGCAGTGGTGTTTCTGCTGCACTCCTGCCTGGTTCAGAAAGATCGTCATTTTCTCTGAGGTCCTCGCGGTTTGCCCTGCCGCCTGGACCTCGATCTCGCGAGGCAGCATTCCCGGCGAAGGTGACGGCGGTCCTAGCCCTAGCGCTGGGGACGTGGTGCGGCTACGCCTTCTACCTTCGCCAAGGCTCACGGCCGCGCTGGTCCCGTCTCCGCAGCCGCTGTCGTGGCCCGACCGCCCGGTGGTCACTGTCACCCCACCAGGCCGGGGCAAGAACCCCCCCTCCCCTTCTCGCCACCGTGCGGTGCCCCCGGCGACGCCACGGGGCCGAGGCACCATACCCCCCTCCCCTGGCCGCGTCACCTCCTTGAACTCCCCAGAGTAGTACTCTTCGACCGGCTGTTCGGGGTCGGTGGTGTTGCCACTCTCGACTCCACCGATAACGTCATCGTGCCGTGGTAGCTTGGAGGTGGTGATCGCGGTATTTCCAGCAGCAGGAGACGAGGGGGACGAAAATGGGACGGAAAACCCGCAGTCCCCGGCCGCCTTGAGAATGGTCGCCATTCGGCCGACGTCGACCTTGCCGACCTCGTGGTGTGCCCAGCCCATGCGATGGTGGACGATGGCGGCCGCGTGACAGGCGTAAAGCTTACAGAAAAGAAAATCAAGACGCAACGACGCCGAGGGTACAAAAAGTAGACATCGCTCATCGAACAAAACAGCACGCTTGAATGCGCGACGCCTGAGAGGGGAAAAGGATCTGGAGCGCCCAAAGTATCGTTTTCAGCAGCTCCGCCTGTACTTCGTCACTTGACGGCTCCCTATCGTTTGTTGTTCTCGGTCAAAAATGGGAAGTCCTCGCTACGGCTTCTGCCGGTTGGAGCAATGGCATTAGTACATCACGAGTTAAACAACCTCACTTAGCGCAAACATTGAGAGCTTAACACGCGTTCCAACACTCATTGGTTTGTTCAATGTGTTCTGGGCGTCAGACATTTGTCGGTACCAGGCGTAATGACCCCAATGGTCGATGTCTGCTATGGTGAGTTTTGAGTGCCGGCGTCGAGTGAACGGCCCGTGACCAACTTCTATCGTGTTTCTTATCAAGGGGTCAAGAAAACAACACGAAAACGTCAAGTTCAACCTGCGATACCCTTCGACCGACGCCAAACCCACAAAAACAAAACACGCCATTGCGTTTCTACCTGATCGAAGGGCAACAAGACGTGAAACCGGCGGGCAGTGCAGCACGAAAGATCCATCCGCACGATGCCTCCGGTCACGCTGGTGACGTCAGGGCGATGTCCCTCCAACGGGCAAGGCACCGCAAACACAACAGCCGATGCTTTCAAGGGAATGTGTAGCCTGGCACGGACGGGAGCAACGGGGGGCACAGCAGATATAAACGTTTCGCGTGGGCGGGGGCGGATAGAGAGTCAGACCCGCCAATGTCGGGGTGAACACAAAGTCCAAGTCTACCTGTGCGTGGTAGGTGCCGATTGTCGCTACCCTCATCCTTGAGAGCAAACGGGGGAGACAATACTTTGGGTTGGGCGGACTCTCGTGTGGTGGCTGTTCATATCAGCAAACAGCTGGCCACGGGACCGTCGGCGTCAAGAGCGGGCACCACCCTGTCAGTTGAAAACACCGGAGCAGCGGGTTCACTTTTCTCACCTTACGGAAGTGTCGAACTTTCCCACCACCCAGAGCCTGAAGTATACTCCCTCGTCCAACCGCCTCGCCCTCTTCAGCCCCCCGGCTGTGTTCTTCATCCCCGGTTGCTGCTGCTGCTGCTCCTGCTCTTGTTGTCGCAGCGAAGTCAGCTCCCGCACGAGACACGCGAAACGCTCGTCGGAGGAAGTGCAGCACACGACGTTGTACCCGTCCAGCGCTAGCCTCAGAGCCACAGCACGCCCCACCTGCAGCAATATCAGCGTTCGCAGAGAGGAAAGGTACGACGCGATCCACCATGGCAACACAGCGAAGCCAATCAGCAAACGATGACGCTCAAGAGGTCAACACGCGTAGGGATTCACCTGTGTGAAACACCGCTTCAGAGAGTGCAGAGACACAGACACACAGAAATGTAGTGAGGGAGAGACGAACAGACAGACAGACACAAAGAGGGCGGGAGACCGAGATGGACACAGAAATATAAGCTAAAAGAACAAACACTCAAGGGCGGAGCCGACATAGCAAGTGCGAAATCGCTGCTGGTGGCGCGCAAATCGATCGGCGCTGTTGTGCAGGGGCGTATACAGCTAGACACGCTCCATCCGGTGGTCCAGTGGTCGTGGTCGGGATACCTTTGACGTAGCCCCGGTCAAGAACACGCAAGGTGTGTTGCTGGTGCTGATGCACTGAGGGGGATCGCCGATACCGGTGGCGGTACTATCCGAGCAGGTCGCCTCAGCAGCGGCGGCGGCGGCTGGATTTGCGGCGATGGCAGCCTTGACATTTTCCACCACGACGGCGGCCGTGAGGGTGTTGCCGTGAACAAGCCTGCCAAAAGAGAAGCGGAAACCCCTCCCGCGGGGCAGGAAGTGTGGCGAGCGGTAGTTGATCAGAACAAGTGCGCCTCAACAGCAGAAGAGGGTACGATGCAGTCTTAAAACATGTTTAGAAAGTAAACATAACCTCACAGAAAGACTACCCGTTCGAGATATAACCTCAGTCGAAAGGGATCGTTAAACAATTACTGTCCGGGGCGACAACGGCAAGGGCTCGCCGGCCAGGCGGCAGAGGGAGGCCCGCAACGTGCATGAAATAGGGGCCTTCAGCATGGTATTGGGGAGGCGGGGGTGTACTCATAGTCGTGCATGCCGTAGTCGCTAGACCATTGACCTCGCATCCCTACAAAGCCGGGACGGAGCACGCCGGGTTCTCACCGGACCAGGCTCTCACATCACCAAGCGCGAAGCGCCGTGAGATATTCGGCGAGTCGCATGAAGGGTGCGCTGCATCCTGCTAAGGGTGTTCGGCATCTTGTGCTTACTTCCTTGCGTACGGATGACAGCTGCGTATGACTTAATTTATTTTCTGGTGCTTTCACTTCCAGAGACAGTTGTAAGCACTGTGTAACTGCCTCGAGGGTGCTTGACCATTTTAACACAACGTGGTGCGATCATCCCCCTTGCGCGGAGTGAGGGTTCTCCACCCCGCACAACATGATCTACTCGACCACCATTATGGTTACCGCCAAAAAAAAAAACGGAGGAAAAAAAAAAAAACGGTAACCTGGTTGCCGAGTTCACGAAGTGAATCGGCTTGTTTTACAACGTCGTTGCCAAGCGACGAAAACCCAACCCCGATGGCAAACACCGAGAGGGGGGGCTCTCTTTGCGTACGGAGGGGGGTGGTGAAATCAGGACAACCGCTGCTTTCGGCAGGACCACGAGAGTTGATCAAGGCACGCGGATCGTCGTCGTTCGCCTGCGGTCGGACCTCAGTATTCAAGGTTAAATATAAAGAACCCCGATGTATTCCTCGCTCCCGACGACAGACGGATGTGTGCAGGAGTGCCGTTTACCTGGTCGTTTGTGGCATGAAGGCGTCCAGCACGTCTTCTCCACCCCGGTTGATGAACTCCGCTTTGTTCAGAGCCCCGAGCCCCAGAACCGAAACGCCTGAAAAACGGGCATCATGATCGACGAGATATATGTTTCAACAACGGCTCTGGATATTGATGTAGACAGGGGCAAGGGCATCGAAGGAACAAGTTGTCATCGACATCAACTGTGACCATGACAGAGGATGGGGCCTCTCCGCTCGCCCCGACATTCATCACACGGCCGCTACGAAGGGTGAGATGTATTTTGCTGCCTAGCAGGAGCAGCATACTTATTGCCTCTTTGTGACATATTCACTGGAACCATGTATTGTGGCCTTCCGCCAAGTACGGAAATTCCGCTGCCCCACAAAACAGGTTTCATTTCGTAAGAACCATCGTTATTACGTCGACATTTCTCCCGTACTACCCACACTCGACATGGACACAGCATTTCCACTTCCAAAACAACTGCGTCTTTCGCCTGTTCAATTAGACATATTCAACGTTTAAAAGTCTGTTCGTTGGCTGCGTGAAGACGACGCCACTTCCCTCAAGGAGAAAAACAACACAAGAGTCGAGGACTCACCGGCCCTATCCGCCTCGCGCACAGTCGCCTCGATTCCTCTCGCTATCCGCCGCCTGAGGAGCTTTATCATGAACTGATAGCCGAAGGCTCGGGACAGCCAAACCTTCAAAGTTTCACAAACAGCACGCGCCAGGGTCTCGCTGAATCACTCCGACTTCGAGATTGTGTTGTCTGTCGAAGTCAAGTTCCGCGAGGGCAAGGAGGCGACCGTCCGATCTGGCCACGGTTCGCATGGATGAGTTGTGTGTGCGCTGGGGGGAGGGAATATGGTAGCACAGCGAAGTTGTCTCGGCATGTTCTCACTCCCGCAATCTCATCTCCGCTGATTGACGCAGTCAGTGCTGCAGATCTCCCGCCTCCCATTAGCACACTAGGTATGGGGCCCCGCAGAATTCCCACGGCCCTTCGCCCTCACTGGTGAAGCCTTCTGGCATGCAAGTCTTCGCATCGATCGAGCGTCTCTCTACATGAACGCTGCGCACCTGATTGGCCACGCCTTTAAGCTCGAACTTGTCCGCCAGGAGGTAGGGCCCGGACAGCAGCGGGGCGATAAACATGAACCATAAGCTTATCAGCAGGGTGATCGGCCACGCCGGAATCATCCACCACGACGCTTGCCACCTGTATATCGAAATGACATTACGAGCACCAGCAGAAACGGTAGGTCGGCGCAGCATTATCTTCCAGCCGGCGATTTGGCGATGACAACAAAGCAGTAGCAGCAGTAATGCACAGGCCCGAAATATTGGCATGATATATTGCGGCGGTAGAATACACACCTGGCCGTGCTGTACATGGCACATCAAATCTACCTGGCTTCTTCGCACCGGCTCCGCACACATGTTCAGACGCGGCGCAGCAGCGTGTGGCAACCACACAGCACAGACTACTCGGAGTAAACACGATCCACAACCTCACGCGGGTGGCAACGACAAAGGCTGTTTTTTTGCAAACTCGATTGGGCCAGCTCCAAGCAGGTGCGCGCGGTCAAGACGCCCCCCCCCTACTGCCAGCTCCGCTTGTTCCGCACCCGTCCGCCCCCTTTCACGTCCGCTCCCCCACCTACGCAAGGGCCGCCTTTCCGGCATCCAACGCGCGAATGTGGAGAGGAGGACCCCCGGGTGCGCTAGGAAGGCCACGTCGCAAGAAGCGGGGCCGTGTCTCGCCGCGCTTCCCCCGTGTCGGTGTATGCCCCTCCTGTCTTCAGTGGGTGAACACACCACAATTCGTCTTCTTCTCTGAGGGTCATCCTGGTCGTTTGCGGAGGGTGCCAAAACAGAAAATGGCCGGAAAGCTGTTGACGAGACTATTCCAAGGCCACCATTTTTGGCACACCGTCGCTGGTGTTGATGAAGAGTAGCCCAGCTTTAAGAAAATCGGTCCACGGGTAGCGGTATCTTGCGCAACCTACCGTAGTCTATCCGGGGGTAGGATTAATTCAAGACAAATGGGGAGATATTTCCCATCTACTTCCCAACATCACTGGGGGTGATATCAACATTTCCTTCTGCTGTTTGGCGTGTTTTCTTGGTCCGGAGGTATCAACCGTCAAACGGAAAAAAAATACAGCAGCGTACCACCCGACAAGACAGCTCCAGGTTCCGTTTTCCACATCACACGATTCCATCGTTGCACTCTGGAGTTTGGGGCTGCTACTCTACCAGGACTAACGTCCAACAGCACCTACAGCTTTCGTTGGTAATGCGTGAGTACCGGTACACGGTAAATAGTAATATTTGCCTCAGAACGCACAGGATGAGACTTTTAAGGGATTGAAGACAACTAATTTTGATCTTGACTGATTTGAGCAGAAAATGCACACGAGACACAAAAAAACAGCCGGAAGGCTTCGGGGAAACCAGAAATCGTTGATTCTCGCACAGGGTGGCAGTAGAGGCTGCTTAAAACATACGTACATTTCACGCGCCTACCTCCATATGCCTCGTTTGAAAACAAGACCATTATCACGCCACCGGCCTAAGTTTGAATTCCAAAGAGCCAGAACGGTCGCTGCTCAAATAAGGTAGGTTTTTCATCAGATGCTATGCATTCTGGTGACATCACTAGAGGGCACCCTTTAGCAGCGGGGGGGGGGGGGAT